TTCTCATAAACTATGAGTTTGATTTTCAGCTTTACATTTTAATACAACTTATGTCTATACATATTTCAAAACAATGTTATATACTAAAAAAATAATTTTTATTTATCAATTAAAAATAAATGAGTTAGCAGAATATGATATCATATACCTGTAAGTCTAGCCCTTGGAAGACTAAGACAGGCATATCATGAATTGGAGGCCAACCTAGGCTACCTATATAATAAAACCCTATCTCAAAAAACAAAATGGGGGGAGGGGGATATGTCTAAGAGCACTGGCTGCTCTTGCAGAGGACCTAGGTTCAGTTCCCAGCACCCACATGGCAACTAACAACCATCAGTAACTCCAGTTCTAGAGGATCTGACACCCTCTTTTGGCCTCTTCAGGCACTGCAAGCATGTGATATACTTACATACATGCAAACAACACACTCATACACATAAATGACTGAAAATAAGCCGGGCGTGGTGGCACATGCCTTTAGTCCTAGCACTAGGGAGGCAGAGGTAGGCGGATCTCTGTGAGTTCGAGGCCAGCCTGGTCTACATAGTGAGTTCCAGGCCAGGCTACAGGAGACCCGGTCTCAAAAAGACCAAAAATGACTGAAAACAGCCAAGGGAAACCAGCTTCTCTAAACATGAGCTCTGCTAAGCCTCTTAAAGTAAGTCTGCTCTACCCACCCACTTCAGAGAAGAGAAAATTGAGGCTTCAACGGAAAGGCTTGGCTCAGGAAAGACAGAGCCTGGTGTTCATACCCAACCCTGCCCCCTCCATCTTGATCCTGCCCTAGTCTTAGATCTTTAACAAACAACAGAGAAGCCCCTGCCCACCCCGAATCCCACAAGGAGCTCAGCTCAGAGGAGGCTACTGATGCACAATCCAGTCTCCTCCTGGGCTGGCACCTACCAAAGTCTCAGCAAGGTATCTCCTGGCTCAATTTGCACCGCTGGAGAGACAGCAAGGTCCCCGCCCAGAAGGCTCAGATCTTCCTATGTACAGCTCAGGCCTGCCCTGGAGGTCACGAGGCACAGCAACTCTCCCTAAGTCTGGGCATTTTCTGATCCCATCACAGACCCTGAAGCCCAGTAGTACTCACAAGTTCTGGAGGAAAGTGTGGCCACCGTCACTGAACAGTCCACCTGCAGTGAGGACCTCCAGAGCATAGGGTATGTTGTTTGGCAAAAAGGGAATCAGCTGTAGGAATTGAAGGGTATAAGGCCCACAGATTTAACAGGTTTCAGTTCCCATGACTCACATGCTGCCCTAGTGGCCCTGAGGATGAACTGTGTCACATGGTCACAAACTACAAAGGCAGTCTCACTGACCCATGACCACTACGTCATGAGAAAAGTCAGCATCCACACATGAAGTTGTCTCAGAAGAGCAAACCAAATCCCACTGACCTACAGTATCAGGGCCCTGGGAATCTCTGGAGACCATTGCTCATGATTATACACATTGCCCAGTGCAGGCTGAGTCCTCTGTCTAACAATTGCCCCAGTACTTCTTGTCAGCCATCTTTATACTGGATCCAGACAGCCACAATTTTCATCCCAAATGACTAAATAAAGGAGACAGAAGGGCCTGGAAAAGACTGTCAATAGGTACCAGAAATGTTCCCCTGGAAGAGAGGAAATGTCAGGGCTAATTCCCACAGCCATACCGTGTGGCCAGCGGCCTCAAGACTCTGCTTGGTCTCCAGCAGGGCCCGCCTCATAGCCGGGCTGGGCATGGTATAGTTGTCAGTTTCATAGTATCCTACACGCAGGGGCCTAGAGCTTGTATAGACCTAGAAGCAAACATAAGAGGTAGGGTTGGGGCAGGAAAGAATGGCCTAGGCAGAATGCTTACAGACAGAGATGCTTCTCAGCCCACCATAGCTGCAAGGCTGTAGGCTCACTCCATTTGACAATCTCCCCTGAACCATCAGCAACAGATCCATCAGTAAGGCCACCCCCTTCCACATCTGACATTTCCATAAAACACCTTCACAATGACTCAGAGCATGAATGAGGATCCCATGGGTCATAAGAGGAAACAGAGATTACATAGATGGAAGCCCACCCACTGTATAGCGACAATGTCAGCCTGCCTGGACCCCAGCATCCTGTCTCCTAAGATGAGGTTCTCTGCCGCCTGCCCCAGCTCCTATGAGAAACTAGTCCAGACCTTCAGTAAGGGGTCTCCTCCTCTCCCCTCTCTTTGCTTTCAGAAGGAGCTCAGGCTGTAAATATCTGAATCGGTATGCCAAGGGAAAAAAGCCACTCTACCAGATCTTGCCTGTCCCAAACCCCTAGAAACACAAATGCCCCCTCCTGCCCATGGACCTTCAGCCCCTTTGAGGAGGCTTCACTGGAGTAAGGCAAAAAGCCTGCACAGGAGAGAGAAATCTGAAGGTGCTGGGAAGTGGAGCTTGTATCATACCCTTGACCAGATTGGTTGTTCTGTCTGTATCCATCCAATGTGACTGCTCCCAAAAGCTCAGCACACAAGGACAGTTAACCCCATGATTCCCACAATACCGTGAGTCTCTAAATGCTCTTCAGTGGAAAGCATCCAAGGACACTAGCATACCAAGACTCTAAACTGCTCACCTAAAGATCCTCAACTTGCTGTGTCCCTTTATCCCTATTACAACCTGATCCTGACCCAACCCCAGCCCACCCTCCCAAGTCAAAAGATCCACTTAAGTCAGGCCATACCCTGCCCCTCTGAGTGGTTACTCAGATTCTGAAGAGGCAGTGCTCCCAGCTTCACAAAGTTGCTCAGTTCTGTCTGACCAGTCTGCTGTCTTGGTGATATTTGGGGGAGCCAACACTCCATACTTCCCCACAGATCATTCAGCCAATATTCCAAGATGCCTATTTGCTGGGCAGATGGGTAGGAATACTGGGTGGTGATGGGGAGCTGCTATTTCCGGAGGGACAAAAACAACTCAGGTCTAGGGCTTCTTTCCCAAGTTCTTGGGCTGCAAGAGCTTTCTCACATTCCTACGCAGAACAGGCTAAAAGCCTGAGGGGTTCCAAATGCAGACAAAGGCGCCACCTGGTGACCATGTGTGGAGTAGCAGTTGAGTAGTCCCAGACCCTACCATGGGAGAGGTTTTGAGAAAACAGAGCATGCCCACATCACCTGGATTCTAGAGTTCGCCGGTTTGCCCACTTCCACCCCTGCTCACCTCCTCTCTGAATGGCAGAGGAGGCACAGTGGGGTCCAAACGGAACATGTCTTCACACAGCAGGGCTCGCAAGCACAGTGCTAGGCTCTCCACATCCCGGGCCATGGGGCCGACAGAAAGCTGCACTGTGGAGCACGGAGGGAAGTAAGAGGTGTCATTTGGCCCCCAATGGGTTCTAGGTCTGGGTTTCAGTAAGAGCTGTTCTATGGTTCAGGAGTGACAGCAAGACAGAGAGATGGAACTTCAGATCTACAGTGGCCTGGCAGCCAGACACTGCCTACAGGAAAAGCAGGGGCAAAGGCTGATCCAGATGACCTCCACCCTCCTGAGCACCAAGGGTACCACAGACCTCACTCACCTGCCGTCTGTCCATAGACACAGCCCTTCAGGCCACTCTTGCTGGTCAGAAATACAAGATATTGGAAACAGGGAATGGCTACCCTGCGCCCACCCCAAACCCATGCCACAACCCTAAACTCCCAGCACAGAAAGTGGAACCATGCAGAGCTGGTGACAATAATAACCCCTGCCCTCATGAGATCCTGGCTAGTGAATCCCTGCCTAGAGCCCCAATGCTCCCTGTACCCACCATACCTGAGGCGGTTTCCAGTAGGCTTGAGGCCACAGATGCCACAGAAGGCCGAAGGGAAACGGATGCTGCCTCCAATATCAGTGCCTAAGCCCAAGGGGGAGCCTCCAGATGCAATTAGGGCCCCCTCACCCCCTGAAGAGCCACCTGGGCTCTTGGAGGACTTCCATGGGTTCAAGGTCTGGCCAAAGAGGGGGTTACTGCAGTCATAGCTGGAGAAAGCAGGAAAAGGTCAGCCCAGGTCATGCTGATACCAGTGTCCTCTGTCCAACCCACTTCACCTGACTAGACCCAACTCCTAAGAACCAACCTTAACATTGACTGGGGGACATTGGTGTGCACAAAGGGCACGGCCCCCTGCAGCTTCAGCACCTGCACCACCACACTGTCGCATTCCGACGGTGCCCCCTCATTCAGGCTCAAGCCTAGCGTGGAGTCTTGGCCCTGGGGGGAGGGATGGGCACCAAGAAGACACCACCAATGAGGCCAGAGCCTTTCTGCAGCCTAGAGAAACTCCCACCACCATCACACTGACCAGGCCAAGCCCACCCCTGGCCCTCTCTCAAGACCTCTAAAACTCCCAAGTGAATTAGGACACAGAACTAGACAGGGACAAAGGGAGTATAAAAACCTGATACCAAGGCAAGGTGTACCTTGTAGGTGAAACACTCCTTAAGGCTCACAGGAACACCATAGAGCAGGCCCTGCCTTGGGGCCTGAGACAGCAGATTCTCACAGTCAGTCAGGTACGAGGTCACACAGTTGATTCCTTTGTTCACTTCCCAGGCCTAGAGGAGGAGAAATGGTCACAAGGTAGAGAGTGAAGCCAATCTTTTTAAGTTTCTGCTTTCTACACATCATGTAAGGAAAAGGGTAACCAGCAACATGATTCAGAGCCAGGAGCACAAAGGATGATTTCCAGCCCCATACCCACCTTGCTACAGACATTTGGCCCTAGCTCACCCTGGCCATTAAGACCCATGGCAAGGCCACTCAAGGGGACAACATGCTGTCCTCAGATGCCCTCAGCAAAGGATGAGCTAGGAGGAAGATGACCACTGCCCACCCCTCCAAACCCTATCTCTGCCAAGAAGACAGATGGGTAGACAGGAGCAGACCCCCAAGTCAGGTCATGCTAGGAGTCAGTGGCAGTTAGGCTAACCAGACCCCAGCACTCTCTCCTCTGCCCTGTGCCAGGCCTACACTTGGCCATGCCAATCTTCCCTCTTCCCTGGGACTCTTGAGTCTCATAACCAAGTCACGCAAAGGATGACTGACTGCAGTAAAGGCTAAGGGTTTGACCGAAGGGAATGATATGCTGACCATGAATGTTCAGCGCCTCAAATGCAGCCCCAGAGCCCAGGAGGTAAAAGGGAAGAGGCAGGTGCAGCCTGGTGACCCCTCCTGTCTCTGGGAGACACCGGGAAATGGGGGTGGGTTGTGCTCTCACTCTCAAAACTGCAGACATCTGTCCCCAGGCCACCCAAGGCAGGAAGGGAACCAGAATGCTCTGTTGAGGCGAACAGGAAGGGCAAGGGCCTGGTCAGGGCCTTGATAAGAAAGAGCAACAGCATCTGCTGAGTCCCTGTGTCAGTTCCCTGTCAGTGATACTGGCCTGTTCTCTCCCGCCCTCTCAGCTACAGTCCCTCTAACCTATCTTACACACCCCTCACCCTGACAGTCATGCTTGCCTGCTTGGTGGTCACACTCACTGTTACAAAGTCACACTCATAATGCATCATAATGCACCATCTGTCTTTCCTTTCTTCTTATGCATATTTCTTGAATACTTCTATGAAAGATAACATATGCAGCTCCAAGGTCCAAAGGCAAAGAAAATATTCTCTGTTGAGGCTGGCCAGGCGTCTCAAAGGTTAAGAGCATTTACTGCTCATCCAGGGAACCCAGGTTTGGTTCCCAGCACCTATGTCACAACTACCAGGAGATCTGATGCCTTTCTCTGCCCTCTAAGGAAACATGCACTCACATGTACATACCCCCACACACAAAAAAAACATAATTAAAAAAAATTTTTTAAAAAGAACAATCTCTGCCCACAGATGCTATGGAAAGCCTAAGAAAGGAGAAAGTCAAACCGTCTGTGGGTGGACAGGGAAAGGGAGCGCCTAGGAAGGCACGGGCAGAGGACATTTTGCTGGTCAGCATGGAGCCCGTGGCCTGGGTGGGGCAAAGCAGATAGAAAAGGAGCCCACAAAGCCAGTGCTAAGCAAGACAGACCCTGAGTTCAATGGCCCCAAGTCCCCAAGGTCTTGGCTGCATCTGTATGCTGCTAGAGATGGAAGATCCAGACATGGAGGCCTGGAGAGCTGAGAGGGCTGCAGCTGCTCAGAGCTAGGACCAGGGTAGATGAAGGTGGGTAGAGAACAGGGGAGGGACTGAAGAGAGACAGAAGGGAACAGAACAGACTTGGTGACCAATGAGGTGGAGGCGGGAGGGAGAGGGAAGTCTGGGCTGAAAGCCAGATTTCTAGCTAAGACAACATGCTCAGTGTCTCCCACACACAAACACATACACACTGAGAGAAAGAGCACTTTCGAGCTAGTTCTTTGGCTCCTTCCTTCCCTGGTAGTCCCTGGCACTGAGGTTCTACCATGACCCAGAGCAGTACAACTCCAGGCCAGGTTTTCCTCACAGCCTATGCAGAGACAAGGAGGTGGGAGTGGAGGATCAGGGCTGGCCTCCAGCCTTACCTTTCCTACAAAGGTGAAGAGTGCAGCCTCTGGGGATAGCTCCCCACTATGTAACTTCTGCACCAGGTGCGGCAGGGGCAGGGACAGCAGCGCCTCTGAGTCCAAGTCAGGGTTCTGTGGGAGACATAATCCATCAGTCCTCCACGTGCTTCCTGCCACTCCCTCCCCACAGTAAACAAGCTGATGCTCACTCTCACTAGCCACTCCCTGATAGGCACACCCATCTGCAGCTCTGACACCGAGACAGGACCCAGCCTGGGCAGCTCTTGGCATCCTAAATCAGTGCAAATGTCACCTTTGGAAGTCTGCCGGAAGGGTAAGGGACAGGACCTTGGGTAGGCAGATTATTGCATTATTCCAATCATCCCCAACATCCTGTCAGGCACCCTGCTGTAATGTGTTTTGTGGGAGTCCCCACCCCCAGTGGTTATTTAAATTTTCCCTTTTAAATCTCTGACCATTTCCTACTTGTATACAATGTATAGTGACCACATTCTCCCCCATTATCTTCTTTTATTTCCCTCCTACACCTGTGGGCCCCCAGCTAGTCTTGCTCCTTTTTCATGTTTGTTTTGTATAAGGCTTGTGCCGGTGCACAGCTACAGCGTGTTCAGGATTTGTTCAAGCTTTCCACGGCCACCCCAACCCCCAGGTTCATTTTTGTGGTTGCTGCTGTTTTGTTTGGGTTTTTTTTTTTTTGTTTTTTTGTTTTGATACAGGGTCCCACTATGTGGCTCTGGCTCGCCGGAAGAAACTTACGTGCCTGTATGTTGTTTTTGGGTTTTTTTTTTTTTGTTCTTTTGTTTTGAGACAGGGTCTCACTATGTGGCTCTGGCTGGCCTGAAGAAACTTACTGGCCTTGAACTCATAGAGATTCCCTGTGCCTCACCTCTTGAGTGCTAAGATAAAAGGCATGGGCCACCACACAGGGTTGGGTTGTAAGGCTTTTTGGTTTTCATTTTGTTTTTGTTTTGAGATGAGGTTTCAGCTGTGTTGGCCAAGGCAACCTTGAACTTTCAAGATCTTCCTATCTCACTCTTCAGAGGAAATGGGATCACAGGTGCTCAGCACCAAGCCCATGACCCTCCAAGTCTTGATTACACCTTACTACCATTTCCATTGCGTCTACGAGGAAACCTAGGCTCAGAGAAAAGAAGTGCTCTGCCCATGAAGCACAGGCTATCCTCTGCACACAGCCCTGATAGGGAAGAGCAACCACAAGAAAATCCCCATTAATCAGGCATGGTGCAGCATATCTTTAACCAGCCAGAATCAGGCAGATCTCTGTGAGTTCAAAGTCAGCCTGGTTTATATCTTAGGTTCCAGGCCAGCCAACACTGCATAGTGAGACCTTACCTCAAAAAAATATTTAAAAAAGAAAATACCCCAACACCCCATTAAGGTATTGGGTCTGTGGCTGAAGACCACACCCCAAGGTTTGACACATTCTTTCTCAGACAGTTCTGAGGTATGCTCCACACTGGGCAGCAGAGCAGTGAACAAAAAGCTCTGCCCACATGAGTTTACAGGAGGCAGGAATGGAACAGAGAATAGGTAACAAGATAAGAAATTTAAAAGGTGAGGGATCAAGAAAATAAAAAAGGGTGTGGTTGAAGAGGATTGCTCTCTGAGGGAAGAGGGTGTATGAGCCATACCTTCCTGCTAGGCCTCCAGGGCTCCAAATCCCAGGGGTTAGCCCTGCCTGCAAATACCCTCTTAGCTTCCTCCTCTGGAGTATTAGACCATAGTGACTAGTGAATTAAAGCCCTCTACACTCTGCCCACCCCACCTTCCCTGCTCCTGCCAAGGTCTCCAGAGACTCCCTGGTTACTAAATCCAGCAGATACTCGACTATATCGTCCTCCAGGCTTCCCTGAGGCCTTCAGAGGTCTTCCTCCACCAGCCATTCGCTTCAGTTTCTCTCTGATAGAGACATTGCACTCCTGGGGTTTCCCTGCTCCCTCTTGGCTCCTTCCTCTGTCATCATTCGTTTAGTCAATCAGCAAACATGTGCCAAGGACTATGTGAGAGGCTATGAATTTAGAAGTAAACAAAAAGCAAGGTCCCTGCTTTCAAGAACATCTAAGCAAGGAAACAAGCCAGCGGTACACAGGTTGTGGTAAGGTGAGACAACAGATAAACTGCTATGGCAGAAATGCAAGGACTGCCTTAGATGGGTGGACAGGTCTGTCTAAGGTGACATTTCAGCCATGACCTAATAATGACAGGGGAGAGACACAGGTTCCTTCAGCACTTGTCTTCCCTCTCTGACACTAGAGAAGGCTTGCCTTCCCTGGCTTCTATTCCCTGTCCCCTGTATGCTTCCCTGCCTCTCTCCAGGTACTCCACCCATCCCGTTTCTCCTGATCCTCCACCAGACTCCACACAAGGGAACTCAAAACTGCTCATGGAGCAACTCCTGTCCTTCCTCTGAGTTCACCACCTCCACACCCTCCATTTGGCTCCTGCTCAGTGTGCCTGGACCTTCATTCAGACAAGTGCATATCCATCTGTGTGTTTTAGGTGACCAATGAGAAACCATTCATTCCGGCTTCTTCCTCTCCCTGCCCACTACACCCAATCATCAAGCCCTTTAAGAAGCTCTGAAAATTAGCCACATCTATCCCTTCTTCCAAGACCCTCATCCAGTGTCCTCCTTTCCTCCTGGGACACAGAGAACCTAACTGCTGCCCTGCTTGAGCCCTTGCCCCTCTGACCCATTGTTTTTGCTTAGACCACACAAAGGCAGAGTCTAACCTGATCTTTCCCCTAAAAATTACTACATGTCATGCCACAGATTCCAGAATATACTCCGAAGGTACTTTCAGGTCATGATCCTTTGATCCGATCAGACCCCTCACCAGTCCTTCACGCCTACCCCCACCTTGGAACCTTACATTCTTTTTTTTTTTTTAAAGACAGAGTCTCCCTGTAACCCCAACTGGCCTGGAACTCACTATGTAAACCAGGCTCACAGAGATCAGCCTGTCTCAGCTGCCCAAGTGCTGGGATTAAAGATGTGCACCACCACACCTGGCTTTTATACACTTTTTAAAAAAATTTTATGTATGAGTATTTTGCCTGCATGTATGTAAGTGTACCCATGTCATGCAATGCCTGAGGAGATCAGAAAAGAGCATCATATCTCCTGAAACCAGAGTTACAAAAGTTCTTGGCTGTCATGTGGGTCCTGGGAACTAAACCCAGGTCCTGTTCAACAGCAGCTGGTACTCTTTTTTTTTTTTTTTTGGATTTTTTTGAGACAGAGTCTCCCTGTCTGCCTCTGCCTCCCAAGTGCTGGGATTAAAGACATTGTACCACCACACCTGGCCAGGCAGGACCCAGAATTTGTTAAATGATACCACACTTACTTGGGATTTTTATTCATTGTTTGGTTGGTTGGTCTTTGTTGTTGTTTTTTGGGGGTTTTGTTGTTGTTGTTGTTGTTTTTGTCTTTTTGAAGCAGGGTCTCCCTGTAGCCCCTTTATTATTTATATTGTATGTGTATTCATGTATTGCCTACATGTAGGTAGGTGCACTGATGTCCTGCAAATGCCCACAGATGTATGTGGGTGCTGGGATTCGAACCCAGGTCTTCTTCAAGAGCTGCCAGTGCTCTTAACCTCTGAGCCATCTCTCCAGTCCCTTGACTTTTTCTTTCTTTTCCCCTTTTTTTTTTTTTTTGGTCTTTTTGAGACAGGGTCTCCCTGTAGCCTCAGCTGTCCTGGCACTCACTATGTAGACAAGGCTGGCCTTGAACTCACAGAGATCTCCTGCCTCTGCCTCCCAAGTGTTGGGATTAACATGTGCGCCACCATGCCCAGCCAACTCACAGAGATCCACCTGCCTCTGCCTCCTGAGTGCTGGGATTAAAGGTGTGCACCACCACACCCAGCAGATAGATAGACAGATGATGATAGATAGATGATTGATGATAGATAGATAGATAGATAGATAGATAGATAGATAGATAGATAGATAGATAGATAGATAGATAGATAGATAGATAGATAGATAGATAGATAGATAGATAGATAGATAGATAGATAGATAGATAGATAGATAGATAGATAGATAGATAGATAGATAGATAGATAGATAGATAGATAGATAGATAGATAGATAGATAGATAGATAGATAGATAGATAGATAGATAGATAGATAGATAGATAGATAGATAGATAGATAGATAGATAGATAGATAATTTTTTTAAAAGTATGTAGGAGCTGGGGAGATGGCTCAGTCAGTAAAGGGCTTGCTATACAAGCATGAGAATCTGATTTGGGATGCCCAACACCCAACGCGGTGGTACACACTTGTAATCTTAACACTGGGGAGGTGGAGACAGGAAGATCCCTGGAGCTCACTGGCCTAGCTTTCCAGAACTGGTGAACTCCAGCTTCAAAGATAAGCTCACAAAATAAGGTAGATGGGGCTGGAGAGATGGCTCAGCAGTTAAGAGCACTAACTGCTCTTGCAGAGGACCCAGGCTCGATTCCCAGCACCCACATGGCAGCTATGAACCATCCTTAACTCCAGTTCCAGGGGACTCTGAAGCCTTCTTCTGACCTCTGAGGCATTGCACAACATGGGTGCACTCACATACATGCAGGCA